CATTCATACTGGCTTGTAATTTTATTCGCTTAATTTACTGAAGAGTGGTAGTTGTTTTCTCCCCCCTTCAAAAAAAAAATGGGTGGAGGCGATTTGCTACAGTCGACACAATCGAGCAAGGTCCTCCCAAAGTCTTCATTGAGCATCTAGGCTAGGGCAAATAGGCATTGGGAAGGGACAGGAAGGCGATACTGGGGAGAGGGGGGGATTTACAGTGACCAAATTATTTTTAAAAACCCTCCAGCAGTTATTTCCCCCCCTTGCCAATCTTTGCCCCCTCCCCCCGCCCCATCATACAACCGAATTTTTAAAACGAATAATAATGGCTGCGAAACCATTCGGATTTTCAGTTTCTGTGCGTGTGCCCGCTTAAAGGTGAAGAAAGGCAAAGTGAAAAGAAGAGGACCTTCTTCTATTCTTTCCGCCTGTCTCTTTTTCTTCCTCCCCACTTCCCTCACCACCACCTATACGGTTCACCATGATGCGGGTCTCAATAACTTTGATCCTTCACCCTGTTTGGAGCAAACCTCCCCCCCCGGATTCTCACAAACCTCATTTTCAAGATGACTAAAGATCCAATCTCTTTCACCTTCCTCTCCCCCCCCCCCCCCACCCTTTCCCCCACAACCCCCCCGGCGCCCTGTCTTCAGCAGGGCTGATCTCCCATTGGAGCTAATGGGGACGAAAAGAATGTAAGTTATGTTCCTTTTGTCTCCATAAGGCTGTTGTTCTCTTTCTCCCCCTCCCCTTCTGCCTCCCGCTCTCTGTGTCTTTCTCGCTCGGCTTTGTTTTAAGCCAGAATACAGTTTCAGTTCATGTACAAGGCTTTTCCGTATAAAAATGCAGGCGGGCTCTGCAGTGGCTCCATAGGTAGTCCCTTCCTTAGGAACGCTTACTCGGAAGGAGGCCCATGGCCGTCTGAAGGGGATTTATCCTCCAGGAAGCTGTGTGTCAGATTGCGAGCCTTTATTGCACAGTTTGCTCCAATGGGTTTTAGTCGCAGGCAAGTGTGTGTTGTGACAGTACAGCTTTAGACAAGACCAAATCACTGCACCCCCTTCCCCCCACCCTGCAGAAAAGCATTCCGGCAGGCTTGGCTGGTGCGTGTGTGTGTGTGTGTGTATTAAACATGGACAAAATCTTACCATTACCCTCACATTCCTTCCCCAAACTGTAGATCCTTTGCGGATGACCTAGGGGAGTGTGTGTGTTCCTGTGTTGCATGCACATTGCGTGATTTATGTGTAAAATGAGTGTGCATGATGTAAACACCTAATTAGATAGATAGATAGATAGATAGATAGATAGATAGGGCTCAGAGTGGGGAGAAAAGAAAGCCCTCTTTTTCACAGCTTAAAAACGACCCTTTTGTAGACGACACACAACAAAAAGACAGGATACAGCGGCTTTGAAAGCAACCCATAGGTACATTTCCGCAGCCCCAAAAATGCCAGCTTTACAGCTCTTGTTTGTCTCACTGCTGTGGGCGCTGAATAGAATGGAACAAAAACAGGACCACAGAACCGGCTAGACGTCTGGCCTTAATTGTTTTATGGTTTAAATAAGGTGGGTGCTCTTCTCTTTGAAACCGGCTTATTGGAATGTTTTGTCTACCAGCAAGAAACAACAGACGCGCACCCCCCCTTCATTCCCCCCTCCCTTCCCCTCTCTTTGGCAGAGGAGAGAGAGGAGAGAAATCTTTTAAAACATTGTCCGGCGCGGGGGGGGGAGTGGTTGGCAGGAGAGATAAGAGAAGCTGCAACATTTCGCTGGCGTATTCACGTAAGTGTGTGTACACGCATGTTGTGTGCGCCTCGTGGTCGTCGATAGGACAATGGGTGGTCATTTAGGGTATGTGAGGGGAGGGTGTAACAAAAATGAGCAATTGCACTGCGGTGGCTTTAAAAAAAAATCTAGTCAAAATCCCCCCCCCCCTTTTTTGGCTGATTAAAAAAAAATTCCTTGCTTGATTGATTAATTCCGGATGGTATGTAACCATCAGATTCCAAATGGCTCGTCTTGAACAAAATCCGGATTTTTTGTTTCCTTCGGTTCTCTCTGGACCAAATCGGATGCACGTCCTGGAAAGCTTGAAAGGAGGGGGGAATAATAATAATAATAAAAACAAGGGGGGTGATTTTGGTGCTGGGAGATCTTTCCCCTTGTTTTGACCGAAAAGGTTTTGTTTGGAAGGCCTGTGTCTTGGGAAAAACTGGCGCAAGATGGCGCTGTTGCTCAATCTTAGAGGCGATTAGCCGTTTTACTCACAAAGCCTCGGGTTAGCACCTTTAGGCCCCTCTTGGAGGCTGGAAGGAAACGGGGCTCCATAAATATACATACATAAAGTCACCTCACCTGCTACCACGTTAGCGTTGACTTGCAAAAGAACGTCAGACCTGGACTTGACTGCGAACCGACTTTTCGATGGCTAGTGTAAATGAATTTCTTGGGGGAAACCATCCCGAAATTATATTTGCACCGTCCTGCCCTGTGCATAAATGAAATGCATACGTGCAGTGGAAGAAGGCGTTCGGTCCAGCAGCCTCGGCTGGTGAAGTGCATGAATGTTGAGTAGCGAAATCTGCTGGACCTCCATTTTCTCTGAGCAAGGCTAAAAGAGACCAGCCTGGTTGATACATCAAAATTAAGCCAGAACGTTTTATTGGCAGATCCTCTATGTGGGTGATGTGTTCAACACATTATTTTTTAAAAAGTAACAATGTGACACCCTCGGAGGTATAACACAGTGGTATGACTTCACATCCATTCATAGGTAAACAACCCCAGCAGAAACAAAGAACGGTTTTTCCCCCAGCTACCTGAAACGCCAAAATGGTGGCCTCTCTTGGATTGGTATTAAAATGCTTTTCTCTATATGGGTTCAGAGGGCGACACTTTGTTCTGTACATTTTAAAATAGCATATATTATAGTCTCAGTGTTGCAAACCTGCTACCACCCCTCCATGTGCTGATTTTTAGGGGGAGGGTTGTTTGTTTGGGGGGGGGGTAGAATACAGAAGATTGGAAATGCATATTTAGCAACTTTCTGCCTTCCCCGCAACTCATGGAATCACGGTCAACAACACACCCGAGAATCTCCCTCCTCCAGCTGACTATGTTGCAATAAAAAAAGGACAGGGTTCGCTACTAGATTTCCAAACTCGAGAGCCATTATTGATCAGCGTCTCTGAGAGATGGGCCCATTGACTCTTATCTGCCAATTAAGCCCTGTCAGGAGTTGCAGCGGTTTGTTTAGGAGCTGGTGAGCTTGGCTGCATCGTTTCCTCGTTTTCCCCCTTTGGCAAGCCAGTCTTTCCCCTTTTTAAAAAAAGGATAAAAGGGCCACAATTTCATTTTCAACGTGAGTGTGACTTTTTTAAATTGCATTTTTCAAAATGCAAAACAGTAAGAAGGGGGGGGGAGGGGAACACCAACAGCTCTTCGGCATCTCTGTTTCGAGGATGGGGGGGACATCTGAGAAAGCCTAATTTTTGAAACACTTTGGAAAGGGAGAGACTGTTTATTTGGGTGAACTGGGCGGAAAACGTCTTTTGCTGGTGGGGGGAATCCAATTTAATGACAGATTTGGGCGTTCTTATTGCCCAACGTGGGCACAGAATCCAGGAGTTAAGGCTGGTTCACGGGGGTGGGGGGTAGGAGGCCGAGAGGAAAAGTCCAGGCTCCACAGATTTACTCTGAAGAGTGTTTTACGGTTTTGCAGACTTCCTAACAGTGGGGATTTCCTCAGCCTGGGTTTGTTTCCCCCGATGAAATTTGTGCCCTAGAAGGTATTGCGAGGGGGGGGGGGGGCTCCTGATGAGTTTACGAAGGGGCCTGGCGGACAGTTAATTTATAGAAGTGAGCTTGATTTTTTTGTCAGATTTCAGAAGCTTCCCAAAAGCGGCTCAGGAAATATTAATTTGCGAACTTTACAAAGAAGAACGGCTCCTGGGCTTTGAGGCTTCTGTTTAATGGCCCCGAACTCTCTCTTAACGCGGTCGTAAAAATGGTTTCAGCCAATGGTCACTCCAGAGTTAGGAAAGTACAGGCTGGAACAGAGCTGGCGTCTCCCCAGTACATGCATCACACACACACACACACACACACACAAACACACACAAGCAAGATATGTGGACAAATTCTCCAGCATTTAAGTAGTAGCAACTGGGGGGGGGGCATGAGATAGATACTACTACCCCTCTTCGCCCATCCCAGCATATCCTGTGCGCCCCCCCCTCCTATTCCTTCGCCAAGACGTTTCCTGTGGACACAGCTTCGAGGGACGCCTTCCAGTGATCTGCAGAAGGGAATATCCCCCCCCCCCAGGCCTACAGAAAGAAAGGAAAGAGAATCGTGTTCCTGAGATCTTTTATTTTTTCTTTCTTTCAAGGCAACTACATATGTATATACACACACAGAGAGAGAAAAGGAACAGCCACAACGCACCTCGGGAAATCAATGGACTCTCCAGATTGTTTTCATCACTTTTTTTAAAACGGGGGTGGGGTGGGTTTTTGGCCCCATCATATCATTTCCCCCCCCCTCCCTCCCTGCACGACAGTCACATAACTGGAATAGTTGAGGTGAAGGGTGGGTGGTTGGGTGGGTGGGGTCCCCCCCCCTTAGCGTTGCTGCGCCCCTTATAGGGCCATCTAAAAATACACCCCCCCCTCTAAACACAGTCATTGATCCGGGTTTGCCTCTCTTTTTTACCTATTACCTGTTGAAGTAACCTAAATTGACCTCGCCGGCGCATGTATTTGCTCAGATAAGTGAAGAGGCTCCGTTGCATAGGGAGGGGGGGGGAAGAGAGAAGAGCACCTAAGGGTATTACTGCGCACCTTTCATAACCCTGTTTCATTCAGCAGCTACGAGGGTGTGTGTGTGCGTGTCCCCCCCCCCTTTCCCTCCTTCTGAAGGGCTGCTTCTCTCACCTCCCCGTCACCCCCTCGAACCCCCCGATTTTTCCCCTTGTCATTTTCTTCCCTTAGCCTGTCTTGCTGGGCTGGATTGATGAATCCAGATCGCGTGTGTGTGTGTGAGTGAGAGAGAGCGAGCGAGAGAGAGAGAGAGCCTCACCACCGGGATTTTGAGGAATTTGCCTGTGGTGTTAAAGGGAAGGGAACAAGTAAGAGAAACTGAGAGAGAGCTCTACCTATCGACGGATATAAGAGAAGTCAAGAGCATTAGGCATAAGCAGCCATACCCACTCAGCCACTATGAAACGTCTTTGAGAGAGCGCGCATTAAAAAAAAACAAAAAACCACAATCAGCCACTAACCAGGACTTTCCAGAGTCCAGGGAGAGGGGAGAGCGAGAGTCCTTAGCACTGATCTCTTAGAGCATTAAAGACTTTTTTTTTTAAAAGCGCTTGGCTTCTTCTCCTCCTTTTCATGCGAAAGCCATGAGTTCCTACTTTGTAAATCCTCTTTTCTCCAAGTACAAAGGCGGCGAGTCCCTGGAACCAACTTACTACGACTGCAGATTTCCACAAAGTGTGAGCAGAAGCCATGCTCTCGTGTACGGTCCGGGCACCACGGCTCCCAGCTTCCAACACCCGTCACACCACGTCCAAGAGTTCTTCCACCACGGAACGTCCAGCATTTCGAACTCGGGATACCAGCAAAACCCTTGCGCTCTGGCGTGCCACGGCGACGCTTCCAAATTCTATGGATACGAAGCCCTACCAAGGCAATCGCTTTATGGTGCCCAGCAAGAGGCGGCCGTGGTACAATATCCTGACTGTAAATCCTCTTCCAACAGTAACTCTAGCGAGGGACAAGGGCATTTAAATCAAAATTCTTCGCCCAGCCTCATGTTCCCATGGATGAGACCTCACGGTTAGGATCTTTCTTCTTCTTTTTGTTCTTCCTTCTTCCTGAAATGTGTTTGGGTTTTTGTTTTGTTTGTTTTATAAAATTATTTAAGTAGAGAGAGGAAGGAAGGGGTGTGGGGAGTGGTGGTGGGGATATATTTGTGTTTGGGAGAGACAGAGAAAGGCAGAGGGAAGGTTCGATTGTGATAATGTTTCTGCTTCCTGTTGCGGGGGGGGGGGATCCTTTTAAAAAGTAAACAAGGGTGCAGTTGGCTTAGGAAAGCCAGGAAGGTGATTTCTGGGTTTAAATCACAATAAAGTAAAACTTTTTTTTAATGGCTTGCCTCGAGGAGAGCAATAAGATACAGCTCCCACGAGGTTATTAGCATGTTCATAATACGCTGCCTTCCCCCCCCCCACCTCCAAAATGTCATACAGCTTTTCTTAACGGCTTGACGTCTTGAGCTTAAAAGGTGAGAGGATTTGGGGAAGGGGGGGGCTCGTATGCTTTGCTAAAGACCATTTAGGATATTTTGAGAGATCCTCGAAATTAAAAGTTTAAACTTGAAAGGGCAACTTGGTGGGGTGTTTTTGTTTTTATTTTATTTTATTTTAAAAAAAGGAAAAGAGGGAAAAAACCCTAGGCTGTTCTGCACCAGGAAGAAAATAAAAAATAGTCATAGCACTAATATACATAACTTATCAATAATATGCCATTGATTGACCTCAGCTTTGCTTAAGGCAGCTTTTCGAAAGCAATAATACTTGCCCAGAACAACTTTCACTGCCTTTATTCAGAAGGTTTGTTTATTCACATGAAGGGTAGGTAGTTTTAAGTGGGGAATTAGCCTTCTTTGGAACCCAGCTCCTTCTTTAGAGAACAACTATCCTGTAAACAAGGCAAGGATGTGGCCCAGGAAAGCTTCAAATAAGAGACAGGAGGAGAAGTAAAAAGGTTTAAAAGTTGCTTTTGTAAGCCAGACACTTCCCCAATAGGAAAACTGATATGGTAGGATTTATGTAGGGTGTTACTGGAGTATGTATATATGCATATGTGCGTGTATACACCTACCCACATACACCATATACACGCCGAAGTATGTGTGTACATATTCATATGCACAGAGATGCAGATATCATGGTATGTTAATTATATAGAATAAAATCACATTTTGGGGGGATTTGGGGTACCTTCTCCATGTTTACATGCAGGGCTTCCTACAGCCATACGTGTGGATGCATCAAAAGGCACCTTCCTTCCGAAGGCAAAAGCCAACTCTGTATTTTTTAAAAAAAATTAGTGGCAGAGAAAATCTCTATCTTGAGGGCTACCGACCCAGACTGAGAAGCGAGGGGGCTATATTTCAAAGACTGAGATTTGCATCAGGAGGTTAAAAAGTAAATGTTGCGAGGAGGGGGTGGGTGGGGTGGGGGGGCTGAACGGAAGGATGGCTGCTCTGGCGCTATGTTGTCTAAAGGGAATGGTTTCTTTTATTGGACTGTTGGAATGCTACGAAGGTTGTGGGGCTGGAGGGGGGGGACGGACCGAGGGAGAAAGTGGTCCGTTATCTTCGGTGGGGAGAAGACAGAATCAAAGCAAAGGGCGAAAGAGAGCCTAACACGTTCTTCTTTTTGTTGTTGTTGTTGCTTGCTGCTGCTGCTGCTGCTGTCCCCCAGCTCCCGGAAGGCGCAGTGGCAGGCAGACTTACAGCCGGTACCAAACCCTGGAGCTCGAGAAAGAGTTCCTCTTCAACCCCTATTTAACACGGAAGCGGCGCATCGAGGTCTCGCATGCCCTGGGACTGACAGAGAGGCAGGTCAAGATCTGGTTCCAGAACAGGAGGATGAAATGGAAGAAAGAAAACAACAAGGATAAACTCCCCGGGGCCAGGGAAGAGGAGAAAGCGGAAGAGGAAGGCAACGAGGAAGAGGAGAAAGAAGAAGAGGAGAAAGAAGAAAGCAAGGACTGATCCCCCTCTCAGCTCCTTGAAGTCCTCGTTTTATGGCAGATGATAAATCGAGATGTTTACGACGGTCATTCGCTTTTATAGAGTATAGAATGGAGAGACTCACACACAACAGTAACTACCTGTCAAACAGTTGTAGAACCCCTTTTTTATTGTCATCGAACTTCCCCTAGGTTTTTTTCTTCCATCCTCCTATAGCAGCAATCCCCCCCCCTTTTTTTGGCTTTCAATAAAATAAATATAGAGCTGGGTTTGACAGCAGCCCAGTCCGAACTGAGCATTACCTATTTGCAAAGAACTGGACCTTCCGATCGTCACCACCAGCAATGACCCCACCCCTTCTCCGCTCCTGGCTCTATTCTAACTCTAAACCACAAATGCTCTGATGTATTTGTTTGGAAGTGGGGGTGATGCCTGTTTCTTCTCGACCTTGTTTGCTCCCCAAGTTTAATCATGTCAAGTGGGGGCCTGGAGGGAGGGTAAGAATGAATCATAATACTTTATGCTTAGTCTTAAAAACAAAAAAACCCTATCTACCTATATATTCTTCCACATTAAGGTCCTTTGATTATTTCTTTTTTTCTTTTTTAAAAAACTTTTAGCTCTCTGTACCTACTGAAGGACAATTTGGGGGCTGGGGGGCTGGGGGGGAGAAGGAGGCTTGACATGTGCCTGAAGACAGACCCACATGCTTACTAGTTATCTATGAATATATCTGTACATACAGTCTACCTATTCTATTGCCCTGTTATCTGCTAGGCAAAAGCTGCGACCCTATTGCATCTTCACCTGGAAGGAAATCCCACCCCAATCAGGGGAAAGGGGGGGGGGCTTACTTCTGAGTAAACCTGCATAGGAGAGCTGCGACGAACGTGGACCCATGGAACGATTTCCTATGGGTGTTGTTTACTTATAGGACTTGGTGTGAGCGCTCGAAATTCTTAACATACTACCTAATGGGAAACCTGCAATAATACTCTGTTAGCAACAAAGTGGGGGCTTACACAGACGGGAGGGAAAAAATAAACTTCGTGGAAATCATTTTTTAAAAAACGAGAGGAGTGTAATGCCCCAATGCAAGCTACTAAGTAGCAGAAAATAATAAGAATAATAAGTAATAATAAAAAATACAAAAAAAGGAACCACCCCACATTGTAATGTATCTTATCACTACCTATAGAAGGAGTCATGCTTTGAAAGTATTTGTAACGCGGTTTTGTTGTCGTATGTTGCTGCTTATTTTTTTTCTTGGAAAAAGAGAGGTAAATTTAATTCCCAACAACTGAAACTGCCTAGATATGAACGCACAGTATTGTATTATTTTATTGTGCTTATAATGTAGTTTAGGACTTCAATTGCACTGAATGTATAGTTATCTATTTGTCTTGACTTATCTGTTAATGCAACATGCTCGAATTACAAAAAAAAAAAGGAAAAAAAGTCATTTGTTTTATGTACACCATAGTTCTCTGCGTGTTCCAAACTCTGAATGTAGCAATTTCTGTCAGAAAAGCCCAATTCTGGCAACCGTGGATTTGTATTGTATAAGTGAGACATTACGTAAATAAACAATAAAAAGAAGCCCAAAAGAATCGAGTTGGGTTGTTTTTTGATAGCCGGACAATTCCTGGGAACCACCAACTCCACTAGTAGAGAACAATTCAAACGTTCACGTTACAGGAGTATTCAAAACCGTTAAAAACCAGGTGTGATTTTAACACATACACGGGGATGAAGATCATGAACTGAGTGAATTGGGAACCTAGATACGTGGAAATCAGTGGGATATGAGACGTCTTCAGGTTTGGCATCTGGATAGCAACTGAGTAAACAAAGAGGAGAGGGGAAATCAAGATCATTCCTTACCTATCCACGGCTAGTGTTATTGGTCCATAAGAGGAGATCTTTATGTAAGGCAGGCAATGCAAGGACCTACGCAGGGCTCTGGGATGGAATTATTCCCTCCTAAGGGTTCACCGGTTACTCACCCACCCATCCCGTATTCTGCTGATACCCTCCAAATTACTATCAAGTCTTTACCACTAGCCTTCAGTAGCTGTGGCATAGGTAGATGCGTCTTCTTTCTCAACCCCCCCCCCCCCACACACACACACCTCACCTCCTCTGGCATGAAACAAAAATCAGCATGCTTAAAATACATGTCTTCCTAGCTATGGCATTCAAAAGGATGGCTGGATCCGCAGGCAATATCTGATATTTCACAAGGTGCCTCTTGGTGTACCTATGCGAAGGTGGTGGAAATGGCTCGAAAGGAATCATCCCTTTGCAGGTCTCCCTTATAATGCAGATGGGGCATTATGGGAGGAAGGAAAATGTTATTTTGCACGCAGAAGTCTCTGCAGAAGCCATAGTTGGGCTGCACTAGAACACTGAGCCGTGAACTGAAGGAACAGTATTATTTTTCCACTAGGTGATTGTCCACAGGCAAACGTACATGCTTCAGGTCAAAATGCTATTTTGTGTGCCTTTTATATGTGCTTCTGAAAGTGGGTGTTGGGGGGGGGGGGAGGTATTCTCCTATCTAGCATGCTGAGAAATGGACTGCATCCCACATCGGCATTTGGTATGGAAATTGACAGGTTGTTTACAGTGATACCCCAGATAAGACCTATCAGAATTCCTAAAACACATTCTGGCTTAGTAAACTGAATCTGGACAGGAGTCTGGGGGTGCTGGGAACATTCCTGATCTCCAAATGGCAATTCTGAAGTTCTTAAACCTATAAATGAGAGGTATGTATGTACGTGTGAAAGAGAGAGACGCACAGACAGCTCGAGGGAGAGAGAAGCTCTGAAGATTACAGGAGGAAACTATAGGGTGGGTGGATTATGGGGTCCATATTTCCGTTGGGCGTGTCCACGTGCCTCTGTACACTCCTGTGTCCATTCACACATGTGTATACAACTCCATGCGTGTGTGCGTGGGCGGGTGTGTACACCTATGCATTTCAGGGCCTTAAAATATTCCAGCTAAGTCCTTGTGTTCGGCTTCAGAATTCCGCTCCAGACGCTGGACACGCAGGCACATTAAAGACCTTGTCGAGCCAGGTGTTTCTCGAGATACAATAAGGAACTCAAGGACCTGAAAACACCACCGTCCTGGGGCAGGTTGGGTGCAGATAAGCCGGCTTTTCCACATCCACAGACGAGCTTTCATTTCTTTGTTTTACAATGGGGACTTTCAGTGATCATGACTGTAGGAGGCTCCTTTCGAAATCCTAGTTCAGACTGGGAAAAGGGTGTGTGTGTGTGTGGGGGGGCAAACAAGACAATGTTACCGGCATAACGGTGAACGATACCGTCATACAGGCACTGAGGAGGCAGGTTGCTGCGCCCGCCGCTGGGATTCGAATCCACAACACAAAGTGAAGGTTCTTGCCTAGGTATAGACACCCACACCCGCATCCCTATTACTAAACAGGCATATCCTTGAGGGGGACATACCAGATCCCACCAATTCGCTTTCTCTTTGCAAAGGGATGGACAATAAAAGCCTCCATAGCCCGAGCTTGATGAGGCCGCAGAGTAGAAAGGTAAGCTGTTTTATTACTCCTCGTCATAAGGGCCAGGCCGGGCCTATCTTAACTGCAATGCTGAATATATATATATTCGGAATGTATTATTTCTCCTCACTAGCCATTGGGAGGGTGGCTAGCGACCCTGGAGCGAAGGAGCTCAAAGTTGACCTCCCCACCTTTCAAAACCAAGCTTAGGACCTCTCTTGGCATCCTGTTAACTAAGTCAGTAGTCTTGGCTTTAAAGCGCCTCTTATTCCCCCCCCCCCGTCGCCGCCCCGCGCCCCACAGGTTCAAGGAAGCCCTTGAGTAGACAGTTCTTTGGGTGATTTTTTTTTAGTAGCTGCAAGGACGGGGGAGGCGAGAAAACTTAGTTAATTTCGAAATAAAGGGAAATCGAGGTGGGAGAGAGGACAAGGGGGGTGGGATGGGGAGAAAAAAGCTGTCTCTGCACACTATCCATCATATTTAAATCAACATTCTTAAGTGGTTTGATTTGAAGGAATCTCCCGAAAGATACTTATCCATCATAGGGTTAGATGTTAAATTATTGAAATTGCAAGAAAAAGGCTGTTACTTTGGGGGGGGGGGCTGTTTATAGCTTATAGTCAACACAACCGAGACGCATCTTTAGATGACATGCAATTTTTTTTGTAATCACTCCATCATTTCAAGATCGAGAAGAAAAGATGGGGGGGGGAGAAGAAGAAGAAGAAGAAGAGAAAGGCCATTTTTATGGGGCTAAGTAATTTGAAAGAAGATAACGGTTTCCACAAAGTGGCTGATTTCGGAAATGATCATTGCTTCAGTATTACCGAAATGAGATTCGCCTCCACCCGCCTGGAGTTAAGAAATATCATCGTATTCCGGGCTGCCTTTTTTTTTTATTAGCCCATCACAATTCCTTCAAATCTTCATTTGTGATTTGTGAAAAATATCATCCCTCGAAATGCTGCGGCGGAGCATATTGCTCATTTTGGCTTAATTTATTATTCTAATCACAGCAGCCGTTCCGTGATAATGTACCCATTAAGCGGGCGGGGGTGGGGGGGGGGGGGAAGA